TTAGCTATCAGTCATGACTCATGATCCTTGTAGTCTGGTTTTTTGTGATTCGTTCAGCACCGGACTCTCTCTTTACCATAGGTCAATGTTGGTCTGTAACGTTATTGCTGTAAGCTCTTTCTAATTAACTATTACAGTACTTACCGAAGCAGTTTCCTAATATCGCCTTTGGCATATTCTATGACCATGCACTCCAAATGTAGATAACAACAAAATTCATCTTGATAACATGGCATTTTCATATACCTACTACATATAATAGGTAAGCAGGTAAGCTAAATTATCTTCAATTATAACGTTTGGCGGTTATGTGTATATTATTTACCCGTTACACTTGACAGCTGTACACAAATTCAAATTTTAGCGCGCTTGCGTTTGCGCAGTACAGGGAGTCAGTGTGGAACACATCTGCAAGTATGGGTAACCTAACTGTTCCAGAACAGCTGGGTCATATGAACGCGCCCATTGTATGCCGACGATTTGTCAGAATTTGACCAACATTGGTTTGGCTTTGGTATGTCAGTTTATAGCCGTCAGGGAAAGAACCCTGTCGATTTTGAGACGGGTCAGGTGTCAAATTTGAAAACGTGCAACGTGTCCACGCGAAAACTTTAAATGCACTTATATTTGGTGTTTTAAAAGATATCGACTTGAAATGTCAAGCTCAACACAGTAGGCGGAAAATTAATAGTAGGTACATAAGTGTAGGGATTTGTCCTAGTTTAGGGGGCGTCCGGGCGGGTTTTCAATGGTAGTCCGGGTTTTGAGGTACTGAGTAGGTGAATTAAAAATCTTTCAGTCAAAATTTAAGCCAACAAGATAAACTTTCAAGCGCAAATCAGCTTTGGTAACAATTTTTTAAAACACCGAATGCTCATTTCATTTATAGGTACTCGGAGTTATTGAAAATTGCGTACTAGGTACTTTTTTTGCATTCCTGCTCATAATGACAACGCTGAAAGAATATTTTCACTAGTGGCACAAGGACAAAATAAAGGAATTTATTGAATATTGAAACAGTCTCGTCAGTGATAAAAATAAAGAACAATTTCAAGCATTAAAATTGTGTAGATTTTTATAAATTTATTTTAAGTAAGGAAGGCTATTAGAAAGACGGATAAATACCGATAAGACCTGAAAAGTAAATAGTTCCCTAAACATTTTATTTTACTAAAAGACCAAATTTTTGTTTCATTTAGAAATTATTGTTATTAGCTTCTAATAACTTCTATTTTATTTTGTTAAAAAAAGTATATTATTGCTTCATTGAAAGAATCTGAAAATGCAGATAAGCCGTTGCTGATTCCTAACAGTTAAAGAAGATTTTGTTTCGTGATAGAGTACGCCTTGTTTTACTTAGGAAAATTAATTGTTTGTTTTATTTCTTTAGAAAATATTTTTTTTTATCAAATTCAGTTGATATGTCCGGGTTTATAATCCCTAAATCCGGGATTTTCACGCTTCCTGTCCTAGTTGGTAGAGTTTTGAGATGGCAACCCTAAGTATATGAAATACCCTTGGAAATACCACTCCAACATGATATTCGCCGCCCTTAGCCACATCCGATTTAAAAATTCAAAGGCCACTCTGTATTTTGTGACGTATCTATTCTTAAAAGAGCGTAGTTTAAAAAAATGGCCTAGCCCTAGTTACATAATGAACGTTGCAAGATATTTACAGGTACAGCTTAATATTTTTGGGCCGAGGGTGGCTGGGAGCGGCGAATATCACTTTGGGGTGGTATCTCGTATTCTATTAATTGATGACATTCCAACATTTTACCTAAGTCGATACTTTTTAAAACATTAGATATAAATTCCATTTAAAGCTTTCGCGCGGACACCGGGTATACAGTGTGTCCCCTGATCGACCTCACTATACGTGTAATTGATCAAACATTTTTGAATCTTGTTTCGATGTTTTGGGATCCCGGGCTGATTGGTCTGAAAAGAATTTCAAGCACATTTTTACTTTTTAAAATTCAAGATGGCCTTGACAATTGAGAAAATAGTTATTTATATAACCAGAGTGCGAAATTCAATTTCGCGCATTGAGACTGAAGGTATTTTGACGAGGCGAAGCTCCGAGTCAAAATATCAGTCAAATGCGCGATATAACTTCGCGCTAGCGTTATATACAATATTTTTTCTATACAACTCAACCGATTGTTAATTAAATTTGCTGTTTTAAGTGCAACTTAGTCATGTGTGCGAAATGCTTTTTTTCATTGTTGACGGTTTCGCGCACGTTGTCAATAGCAACCTTACTTATTAATTAAGCGTTTAAAAATCTAGTACTTCGTGTTTCGAAATTCGTCAGAAAATGACAGGTTTTTTTGACAGTTGTAGAAAAAGATAATTTTTTTCACTACTAGCGTCTGATGACATGATTATGAACCTTTTTTCCACTTGTAAAATAGGCTTTCTCGGCAGTTTTTTAAAGTGGTTAATAATTTTTTAATTATTAACTTAGTAGTAGTCAATAATGAGAACTGTCACGCTCTCACTTTTAGAAATCACAACCCCAAATTTCGCTCAATATAAACGTTTAGACAAATGCTCTAAAATGAACAATTGCCACCATCCGCCATTTCCAGAGTAATTACATACCTAAAATTATCACATTTTGAAAAAATTCGAACGAAATTACTCTTTGAAAATATCTCAACAAAATACAGCCTGCTTGACTTTTACTTCCACCATAGATTAAAAAAACAAATCTATGCTTCCACGTCACGAACTTAATTTCGTGTTCCACGCACTTGATTGACGTGTGAAATTAATAAACAAAAAATTCTGTCCAACCGTTCACTTTCTTAACTATATATATATGTTAATTTAATGGACTTCAACTACTTCAAGTAGGTACCTACTAGTAGTGAAAAAAATAATATATATACCACGATAGAGAAGTCTGTTATTGCCTACGCACCGTATACACTCCACGGCCTTCGGCGCAAGCGCCTCGGGATGTCATCTTGGTGCTCAGATAATCATACTAGACTTCTCTACCTTGGTATATAATGGGTACGTTCCACTTAACGCCCACAACGATCACGACCGCGACCGCGGTTTTGTCGTTCCACTAGCTTAGAGGCGTTGTGGGCGAACCCTTAAGTGGAACGCTTTTGGGTACGGTGTGACGTCACGCGTGAGTGAACAGTTTTCCAACATGGACGCCGTTGAGGAGATCGTAATGCGTAAAGGATAGAAAGTGGGGTGGATTATGAATTCAAAAGTCACATTAAGTTAGTAAAATTTTTTTTATTTTTCAGTACCAATTATTGACACATACTTCTTCGCTTTACACAAGATATGGCTTCTTGTTAATAAAATATTGAAGACGACTTTTGAATTTCTATCATAAATGTTGCGGCCATACTTAATACGATGATAATGAACACTTCTCCCCAGAATTTCTTCTGGGAATGCAGCTTTGAAACTAGTGGCAAATCTAAGATCTGCAATAAAGAAAATTGTGTTAGAGCAGAATTTTCCTTAACAAATAACTTTAACATTCACGAATCAGCATATATACTTACCCGTTTGTGCATGTAGAACATCCATAGTGATGTCCACCACAAGGTTACGTACTGAAACACGTAATTATATTTTCTCCATAGCGAAAACGAAAAATTTGTAACGCATGCGTGTTCAAACAATTAGTGTCTGACAGTTAAATGTCTCTAGAAATGTCTCCTGTCAAGAATGTAAGGTTATAAAATTAGAACGCCCACGCTGACCCAGGTACGATAGGCGAGCGCCGTGGGCTCGTTGCGGTCGCTAGTAATGACGTCATATCTGACGTCGCGATTGCGACCATAACGACTGTGGTCGTTATGTGGAACGGCAGCCGGGCGTCGTGGTCGTTGCGGGCGTTAAGTGGAACGTACCCAATGTACTATTATGTTGATGTCATAATAGCAAACTGTTATTAAAAAAAGTTGTTTAGAAATATCGGATCCTTAGACCATGTAGTACATGGACTGCTAATTGTAATTAAAATATGGTCAAGGACATCGCCTGGGTATTTGAGTTTCAGGGTAAACGAGTCTGCCCGAAGTTGTCCGATGAGACACGATTTGAGACTGTCAACCTATAAATTAACAAAGGTCAATTAATCAATCGCCTAGATATCCCAAAAAAAGCAAACTTATTCTTATTTGTGGACGTATAGCAAATATTGAAGAGTATTTAAAGCTTCCCGTACTACGCGGTTACTATAAAGCTGCCCTTTAAGCGATCCTAGTGGTGTTTACACGACTTTAGTTTACCCTGAGATTCACATACCCACGACTACAGTGCCCTCTATCCGTGACCATCCATTTTGTATTGAAAGCATAGGGCGAATAGCAGTCCATGTACTACATGGTCTAAGATCGGATCACTTTGATTTGTAATCTTGCGGAGCAACCACAGAAACAAGTACCTATTCTGTGTAAATGAATAGATGAATTGTTATTTATTAGAAATTACAGAGGACACAGTTAAAGTGCAAGACTACAAACAGAGCCTACAAACCAATATGACCAATGAAATTGTTTTTCATTCCAAAGAATGCTACATAAGTGTGTGGAGAGGTTGATTATAGAAAACCCATCTCTCTGCACTCATTAGGAAATAAAATAACAAGTCCGACTGTTGCGCGGTGGCGATCACGTTTAGCTATGCGCCCCGTGTGTTCAGCCTGGGGTGTCTGTCCAGCACGACTTTTAGGTTGAGTCTGCGTTATTCGTTATTCAATGGTTTTATAGTCATATCACAGCTTACTTACTGCTGTGGTCATATGCTTACAGATATGAAACATCAAATGACAGTTTAGTTGGAAGTAGAGGGGTTATAAAGAGACTACACTTTGTTTAACTTCTCAAACTCATCCATTACATTAGTTTACTAGAGAATTGAAAATGCCCTTTGCTCTTTGCACTTTCATACCCTTATTTATATTAGGTGCCCTATATCGATTACATTATTTACTAAAAAGTATTTTCTAATTTTCAGCAAATATCGCGGCCTGCCGATCTTATTTATCAGCAGCTACTCGACTGTCAGAAAGGACCCAAGCAGTATCAATGATTTCATTGGCCCAAGTACTCGGATTTGTAATTGGACCTGCAATTCAGTCTGCCGTGGTCCCTTTAGGGGATAAAGGAGTGTGGCTTATACCTGGAAAATTAAAGTTAAACATGTATACGGCGGCGGGATGGATTAGTGTATTTTTATCCATTTTTAACTTTGTCTGTTTTCTTCCATTCATTTTTAAAGAACATAAGATTGCCATACGTGAAGCCATGCATAAACATGGAAAGAATGATGAAAAGTCAATATGGAAGGGACATAAAGTGGATTATTTAGCGGCTTGGACGCTTTTGGTCGCGTTTTTTGGACTCGGATTTAACTTCATGCTATTGGAAACGTAAGTGAGCAGCTTTCAGGGATGTTTTGTTAATTCTTTTGTTTCTAGGCTAGCAACTCCTCTAACTATGGATCAATTCGCGTGGTCAAAAGCTGACGCATTGTATTATATGGGAATTTTGATGTCGGTTGGGGCTGTAATTGCATGCGCTTCATTTATTGCCATCGATCCACTTTGCAAACAATTTACGGAAGCGAGAGTTATGTTATGGGTAGGCGTTCTGTTTATGGCGTTAGGACGAGTTCTATATATTCCATGGGGAAGTACGACTCCACAAATGTATAATGATTCGATCATACTAGGTAACGCTTCATGTGTGGTATATAATCCCACAGATGTTGGCAATATTTCTACTTACAACGAAAGTTTATACGAAGACAATTTGGAATTTACTAATATTAATCAGACATGCTACAATGCAACAGAGATGTTGGGATGTCCCTCTAGTCAAGAATGGTGTTCCTACACACCAGTATTGACAATAGCTCAATTTTTACTGGGATACGTTTTAACCGCACTAGGATATCCTGTCGGAGTGACATTAATTCAATCAATTTTTTCCAAAGTGTTGGGACCACGGCCACAGGTATGTATTTTTCGTGATTAAGAATATTTTTTGATTTTACCGTTCAGGGAGTTTGGATGGGTTTAATGACTGGCTCTGGATGTTTATCTAGAGTTCTTGGACCAGTTTTTGTCACTTATATTTATACGGAATTTGGAACTATTTGGACGTTTAGTATGACCACAGTAATGATGGTCATCTTGATGATATGGCTTTATTGGTGCTTGAAAAGACTAATTCCTTTTGAAGAAACAATAGATTTGAACAATCAAGCAGATGAGCTTCAAGAATTTGCCGCGCTCTCATCTGTTGCACTGGAAGAATCAAAGAGCTAGCCTACCTATTGATAGATATTGTAAAAAAACGCCGTTAGCATTACTGGTACACTATTTTAATTTAAGAATTGTGATATTAACTTCTTTTATGGCAAACTATACCCACATATGTTAGACTGATTTCTCATTGATGATTGAACTGCGTTCAACCATTGAATAAATGATTCAATGGTTTAAGTAAGGATTTAGCTAAATGTCATCTATACAATTTTGAGGTCAAATACCTAACGTTAAAGAAATAAGAAGCATCAGAGTTGCATTAATCATGGCTGGTTGAAATCTCGCCAATAATTATAATTTTGGACAGGTAGGTACTTAAATGGGAACATCTGATTTGTATATAATAGAAGAGGTAACACTTATAAAGCCATTATCTCAAATTTTCATGAGAAGTAAACCCACTAAATTACTTTATTCTACCTATTAGCATATAAGATAAATAAAAGTACAAAAATCAGACTTCTTATATAAAATCATTGCCACAAAAGATTATCCCTGCATAACCCCCTGTTACTTTTAAAACATGTTTTAGATATTTATTTTACGCTTTCTTAACAAAGATGCAGGTCTAATCTTTCTTGACAAGGATAATCATAAATGTGATATTAAATGTATAAAGAACTGTACAACTGTATAAATAAAGGTTTTTATATTATCATGGAAAAGACGGTGGTTTTTTACCCAGTTGTTGCAGGGTATCTTATTTGTAATCTTAATGCACGGAGATTTGATGTACAAACTTTCCTAGAACTGAAAGACAAAAATGGATATCCGATATCCAGAATTTTAATATTTCAAATGCAAGCAACGTATGGTCACAGGTACCTATGGTCATAGAGTAAATAATATATTATTTACTCTTATGCTATGGTTAAGTAAGTAGGTATACTGTCACAAATGTAAGACGGCGAACTGATCTTGGAGAATTACTGAAATCCATATATAACACAACGTTACGCTAGTTACTGCTGTTTGAAATAGTATATTAAGTTTAAGATACAAGTGTACCTATAAACAAGTCTTTAAAGCACGCGCAACGAGTTGAAGGGCTTCGCGTCGTGCCTTTAACGTTGCAAGTACTTTAAAGACCTATTATACACGTGTATCTTATAGTATTTTTTATTATACCTGCAGTATAATTTAAAAATAGGAAATACAATGACATCATATTGACGTTATACACGAATAAATGTATTAAGTGGGCTGGGGGTGTTCGTGTTATGTCTCTGAATTAATGATACGTATAATATATAGTTGGCATCGCTCTAATTTTTCGAGATGTAATTTTTTTATTACGAATTGAATAGAACGAAAAAGTAACAACTTGCAACTTATTTCATTAAACGTGAATATATAAAAATGGCGACGAGGATGGGATCAAAACTCGAGAACGTTTTGGACCGAATTTGTAATGTTTTACAAGATTTACATGAAACGCAACGAAATTCCACGGGAACAGGAAATGCAATTCCAAAACGGAAGGTACATTTTCACTCCTACGATGAGACAAACGAAACGATGGAAAACTTTATCGATCGATTAGAAAACTATTTAGAAAGAAAAGAAATCGCAGAGGATAAGGAAAAGGTGGGAATGCTGCTTGAACTTATTCCGCCGTCAGTATTCCAAACGCTCACAAATTTGACAGTTCCGGAAAAGCCAAAGGCAAAAACCTACGACGTATTAATTAACTTGTTGAGGACACATTTGAGCCCGAAGCCGAACGTATTTGCACAGCAACATCGCTTCGCAGTGCGAATACAGAATGAGAGTCTATCATGAAGTTTATTGAAGAATTGAAACGCCTCTCCATCAATTGCTCTTTTACATGTAGGTACCGATTGTGGAAAATCGACCATCGAGACACATTTGCGGACACAATTTATTCGTGGATTACGTGACGACGATATTCGGCAGGAGTTGTTGCGTCTAAAAGAGGACACAAAGTTCGACGAAATTGTACGGGAGGCGACAGCGATTAACACATCAAAAATTGAAAGCAGAGAAATCCAGAGAAGCCAGCAAACCCATAGTGAGCCTGTTAATGCAGTGAAGGAGCAACGAAAATGGAAAGCGTACGGAGGCCGACAAAAAGTTAACCCGACATCGTCGACAGAAACTACAAGATTTGACTTCACGGGAAAATGTTACAGATGCGGCCACGAAGGACACCGTGCTTTTAGATGTTCCATGAAAGACAAAATTTGTGCGAAGTGTAAGAAGGTATGCCACATTGCCACCGTTTGTATGCAGGGGGGAAACATTAAAACAGTTCGACAAGTAACGCAATCCGAAGATAATGATGACATCGTTGAAGACGATCAATTTGAAATGTATACGATTGGAAATATTTTTCACATGCACGGCGTAAAAAGCGGAGGGAGTGGCAAGTTTATGGTGAACATCCAGGTGGAAGAGAACAATTGTGAATTTGAACTGGATACGGGGGCAGCAGTTTCGACGATGTCTTACCGAAATTTTTTGAAGGTGTGTCCTGGGCTCTCGATTTCCGACACATCTTCTCGATTGAGGACTTACTCTGGTGAGATAATTGAGCCACTGGGCACATGTAATATTACGATCAGTTTTGGAAACAAAGTAACCATTGGGCGCTTATTTATTGTGGGAGATGATGTTGACTCTATTTGCGGCCGACAGTGGATTAGGATCCTGGATCTTCATAAACGTCCGCTGAATGACTTAGAAATTCACGAGGTCACGGTCACGCAAGCAAATTCCGATGAATTGTTGAAGTCGTTTTTGAAGGAATTCGGCGATGTTTTCGATGATAAATTAGGTCGAATTCCAGCGATGGAGAGCAATTTACAAATGCTAGAGAACACCGCACCAAAATTTTGGAGAGCTCGACCAGTACCGTATGCCTTGAAAGATCGTGTGAACGCTGAAATTGATCGACTAGAGGCGATGGGCGTGATTGAAAAGGTTGTTCACAGTCAATGGGGAACACCCGTGGTTCCGATTGTAAAATCTGACGACTCCATTCGTTTGTGTGCGGATTACAAGGTGACATTGAATCGATTTTTGAAGGATGACAAGTACCCCATTCCCAGGATCGAAGATATTTTTGCGAAAATGAGCGGGGGAAGATTTTTCTGTACACATGATGTCAGTCGCGCGTATCTACACATGCCTGTTGACGAACATAGCGCAATGTTGCAAGCCATAAGTACTGAAAAAGGGGTTTACAAGGTCAATAGATTAATGTTCGGAGTAAAGACTGCACCCAATATTTGGCAGCGCTTTATGGATCAACTACTGCACGAATTGGATGGGGTAGCCTGTTTCTTTGATGATATAATCGTGCAAGAATCAACGATCGAAGAAACTATGCAAAGATTAAGAAACGTACTGAAGAAACTGCGAAACAACGATTTGCACTTGAAGAAGGAAAAGTGCCAATTCTTCAAGTCGAACGTGAAGTATTTGGGCCATCGAATTGATTCGAGGGGCCTGCATCCTCTGGATGATAAGACCACTGCGATACGAAATGCTACAACACCTACAAACGTCGAGGAACTGCGTACATTTTTGGGCTTGATAAATTATTATCACCGTTTTATACCCGATCTGACTACAAAGATAAAACCGTTGAACAGTCTCCTGGGAAAGGAGGTTAAATTTATCTGGTCAGATAAATGCGAAAAGGCGTTTGATATGATAAAAAAAGAATTGACCAGCGACCGGGTTTTGATGCACTATGACCCGAAGTTGCCATTGATCGTGGAAACTGATGCATCATCTGTTGGTCTCGGTGCCGTGTTATCACATAAGATGTCCAATGGGATGGAAAGACCAATCGCCTTTGCATCCCGAACATTGTCGAAAAGCGAACAAAATTATAGCCAAATAGATAAGGAAGCAACCGCAATTTTTTGGGGCATTAACAAATTTTTCCAATATTGCTACGGCCGGAAATTTGTATTGCGCACGGACCATAAGCCGCTAGTGACGATCTTTAACCCCGACAAGGCACTACCAACGCTTTCAGCAATGCGAATGCTGAATTACGCAATATACTTGTCAGGATTCAATTATACAATAGAGTATCGGAGCACGCACGAAAATTTAAATGCAGATTATTTTTCACGTTTCCCAGAACCAACAAAGATTGCTGAAGACGAAACAAGCATATTTTAAACGAAGCAGATAGAGTACATGCCAGTAACACGAGAACAAATTCGACGAGAAACTATTAAAGATGAAGTATTGCGTAAAGTTTGCCACGAACTGGAGAGTAGTTCATCGAACCCGAACGAAACACAAACGAAGTATAACATGCACGATGGATGCATTTTCTATGGTATGCGCGTTGTCATCCCAAAATCACTGCAACAAACAGTTTTGAACGAATTACACGATGCTCATTTGGGAATGACGAAGATGAAGGCTATGGCACGTAGTTACTGTTTTTGGAATGGTATTGATGCCGATATTGAAATGACGATAACTCCCATTTTGTTCTTCACCCTTGTTTTCCTTTTTCCCAGACCTTTAATTTGATGCAAAATTTCAAAAGCTGCTTCAAACGGTTTCCGAGATATTCCATGTTTTAGTTACTTCTTGTGGAAAGTTGATAAAAAAATTAAATTGCTTGATGTTATTCTTTTGTTTTTATTATGGTAATGTTTAAACGTCAAATTTTCGCTGCTTTTCCTGGCAGCTATTCGATTACATTCACCGTGTATTAATAGGTATTAAATTCAAAAAATCTTCATTAGTGTAACCCAAACGAGCCATTATTGACGAGAAGTATAAGTTCAAGCAACAAAAATTTGACGTTTAAACATTATCATAATAAAAACAAAAGAATAACATCAAGCGATTTAATTTTTTTATCAACTTTCCACAAGAAGTAACTAAAACATGGAATATCTCGAAAACCGTTTGAAGCAGCTTTTGAAATTTTGCATCAAATTAAAGGTCTGGGAAAAAGGAAAACAAGGGTGAAGAACAAAATGGGGGTTGCCATTTGAAAAAATGGAGTTACGGATGTTTAAAAGTTTAAAAGTTGAAAGCTTTGAAAAAGTGACGTAGTCTCACTTTTTTAGACGGTTACGCATACCATAAAAAAATTGATCTTTCCATAATAAAGCATTGAAAACTGTTTTGCAATATCTCTCACCGTTTTCGAATAATAAATTTTTAAAGTTACCCCTGCGAATTCAATTTTTGACACAAAAACTTGAATATCGGCGAAGCCCTTGGAGCAAAGAG